GTAGTTGTTAGGTTAACCATTAGCAAACAGCTCCTAAGAGTCAGCATGGTGTAGTGGTTAAGATGCTGGATGAGGTGTTGGATAGGAGACCAGATGATTTTGCTCCAGTCACTCTCTCTTTTGCCCAACTTACCTCTAGAGGTTGTATAGTTGTGGGGAAAAACAAGAGAAGGGTATGTTATGTATGGTGCCTTGAGCTCCTGAATGAAAGGTGGGTTAGAAATAAAATAATGTGGTGGTTATTTAAAAATATTTGGGCTGGTCCCTATTGGTCCAACAAGCCTTGGAGAAGGACCCTAGAATGTGCCAAAATCCAAACTAGTTATTGTGGCACAATGATACCTTTTTCTTCCCCATCCTGTTTCCAAGCTGAACCAGCTGTAAAGAACGTAGTTATGTGGAGAAGTCCTGAAAGGATTCCCTTTTTCTTTTTCAGTCTGTCTGTAGTACAGAGCAACTTTCCTGGGTCAGCTCTACTGGGCAAAGAAACTCCAATTCAGAATGTGGCAGCTAAAATAGTCATAATGGCTAAGTATTTGGAACAATTAAATACAAATTCAGTATCTGTTACCCTGACTACATATTTGCTTGGAAGCTTAATTTAAACTGTTGATCCTGGCTGTTAAAGCCTAAAAGTCACTTGCTGAGATAAGCGGCCATACAAATTGAATGAATGAATGAATGAATGAATGAATGAATGAATGAATGATTTAGGACTTTGTTGTCTATGGCTGTATAAAACTGTCTGAACTTTAGGATCTATTTACTATGGCCAAGTTCATTAATCCACTGATAAAACATATTGGATTGGCAGATTAGGTAGGGCTTTTCCTACAGTGTCTCCTCCCTGGAAATGTGTTTGATCTCACCTGCTGAGATTTTAAAGAGAAATGTTAAACCATTTTTACTAATTGCTGGAATTAACTGTTTCCTCTTCAGTCTGGGTATTAGGAGCTGCGTGGAGACAATGTTCCATATGATGATGAAGATGCATCATTCTAAGACTGAAGCAGGAAAGATTCAGGAATTGTAGAAACAATACTCAGTTGAGTCCTGGAATGCTGTAAAATGGGAAATGGAAGCTAACTGATCCATTTGGTACCGAAATCAGAAATCTCCGGGAGGTCTTGGTATGCCATCATGAACTGTTTCTTTGCTAGTCTGGAAATCCCTCCCGCCTGGCCCTTAGGATTTTGATCCCTGTAATGGCAAAAAAGGGGCATTCTGGGAGCAAGGGTACATCCCACTGTAGGTATAGAAGAAAAGTATGCCAGTCTGCAAGGACCCTGAATTGAGCAGTTCCTGTAGTCTGAATTCTCTTTGAATTGGTCTTATTGTCCTGGTCACTCTGCTGACTAGCAGCACATAAATAAAAGGGGGGGGGGGGAAAGATAAATACTTGGCCCTTTGGCTGAAGCAATGACAGGAAAATGTCCAATATCCCAAGCCCAAGAGAAAATAGGTAAAAAATAAGTTCAAAGACATGCTTGGCAAAGCCTGAGAAGACTGGCTTCCCCTTTATTAAGCAAGGGTTAAAAAATTAAGGGAGGGTGTAGCACTCTGGTTCTCGATGAGAGGGAAAATGGTGTCTATGTCACTTGAAAAGGAGATCTTCAAACAGGCTAATAGCCTAAGGGCATTTTTGCACAGGCTCCAATCACATTTTAGATATTGCATGCAAGCCCAGGTCTTCTTAAAGCCAGTTTCACAACCTCCAGCCCACATATAATAGATGCAGACAGCACAGACTTGCTGGGAGAGGGGATGGGTGGTGGCGGCGGCAGCGGGGAGATGCACTTTAGTTTGCCCTTACCTGTTAAAAAAATACAGCTCACTGTGTCTTTGGGACAGCAGAAGTGGAAAGCATTACCTGCAAAGAATTTAACGATCCTGCAGATGCAGCAGCAAAGGTGTACAGAGACATCAGTACACACCTCTCCGTCCAAAATTCCCAGTTATTTACTCAGGTAAAATAATCTGCTTTTTCTTGTGACCGATAGAATTCCAACATCTCCCTCTTGGGTCAGAAGGGACTTTGTAAAGAGCAGCCTCACCTGTCCAAGAGCTCCCAGTCTTCCCCACCCCAGCGGTCCCGGAATTCTTCTGTGTTCATCCCCCCAATACGATCAAAGTCAGACTTATAGATCCCAAAGAGGCCAAAGCCGTTCACTTCCCAGTAGCCTGAGAAAAGATAAGCCAAGAATTCTTTCTTCAGATTTGATATGGAAAGCACAGCTAAGCATCAAAAGCTGAACGGTCCTGTTTAGACCATAGAAATGCGTCCCATATTGGCAGCAAACAACATTCTCACGCAGATAGAAAACAGATGAGGAGGTAACCTTTACTGAGCCAATTTAGGGTAGGGAAAGAGTATGCCAGCTTTACAAGTGCCCAGAATGTCCCATTAAACTGTACCTTCTCTCAGATCACATCAGTTTCCAACCAGTATACCTATACAATTGGGCTCCATAAGGAATGTTCTCACTCTCTTGTGGGCATATTAATGAACAAAATGCTGGAAGGGTATGCAAGTATGTACTTTCTCATTCAAAATAATTTTCTAATTAGTCTATGCAGGACATATATTGATAGATGAGGAATTAGGAGGAACTGGTTATGGGAACAGAAGATAAACACCCTCAAGTTGAGCTTGACTCTGATGATACAAGGACACAGCCATGCAGTCTTCCTGATAATGGTATAAAGTGGGCTTCCTTTTGCATTCTTCTGGGATCTTTGTTTGTTTGTTTATATAATAGTTTATGTGTCTCCCATTCCTAACACTCTAGTTGGCTCACAATGAGATAAAAACCATAGACATCCATGAAACAAAACACTTAATTCAACAACAAGAAAACCCATCACAAAGCTAAACAACATAATAGCTCCAACTCAGTTGCATCTTCTCATCCAAAGTCTATTGGAAAAATATACAGTGGAACCTCGGTTTACGAACTTAATTCGTTCTGTGACTCTA